CTCCACCCATAAGTTGTATAGTTAACTTTCACCAGTGTTTATTGAACTACACTGCTGCACTTTTCCCCCCTTTTTCACTCCACATTTCTGTACCCTTCCCCCCAACCCTTCTAAAGATATATATTTGAATACACCATACATAAGGAAAAGAAGACAGAATCATCAAAAACTAAAAATATAACAAATTTAAAAATTAAAAGAAAACAAAGGAGAGGTCTTGTTTCTGTATCTTGGAGTTCATTTTGATGTATATATACATATAGTATATATTATATATTATAAATGATACAGTATATTATATATAACATAGAATATATTTTATATATAATTATATGTTAATATGAAGAGGCACGTAGGCATTGCACCTTTTTGTTTCTAAGAGTATTCTCTTTTGAACTGTGTGTATCTAGAATTCTGTATAATTTATCATATCCCAGTGTATTTTAGATATAATTTCCACATATCAGAGAGAACATGTGCTGTTTGTCTCTCTGAGCACAGCTTACCTCACTTAACATGAATTATTCTAGTACCATCCATTTCCCTGCAAATGACATTATTCTGTTTAATTGCTGTATAAATTTCCATTGTGGATAGGAACCACATTTTTTGGATCCACTCATCCATAGTAGGGCATCTGGGCTGTTTCCATATTTTGGCTATTGTGAATGATGTGTCAATGAACAGGAATGTGCAGTTGTCTTTAGCATAACCTATCCTGGCTCATGGTGTTCAGGGTAGATGCCCAGGAGTGGTATGACTGGGTCATAGGGAAGGTCTGTTTAGTTTTTTGAGGAACTTCCAGAATGCTGTCCAGAGTGTTTGTACTAATTTACATTTCCGCCAACAGTGCAGTAGGGTTCCTTTTTCCCCACAACCCCTCCAATATTTGTTGTTTTTTGCATTCACAATATTGGCCAATCTAACTGGGGTGAAATGGAATCTGAAAGTTGTTTTTTTTTTGCCATTTTCACCTCTTCTTCTGAGAAGTCTCTCCTTAGCTCCCTTGCCCACTTAATGATTGGTTTATTAGGTTTGGAACAGTGTCTTCAGCTCCTTGTATATATTGGATATTAGGCCTTTGTCTGATATATTGCTGTCAAAGATCATCTCCCAGTCTGTTGGCTATCTTTCTAGTTTAGTAACTATGTCATTAGCTATGCAGAAACTTTTTTTTATTTTGATGTAGTCCCTCTTTCAAAGTCTTTCTCCTATCTGTTGCACCCCTGGGACTCTTTTCAAAAAGTTTCTGTGCAGCTGGGCACTGGTGGCTCACGCCTGTAATCCTAACTACTCAGGAGGCTGAGATCTGAGGATCATGGTTCAAAGCCAGCGTGGGCAGGAAAGTCCGTGACCCTCTTATCTCTAATAAACCACCAGAAAACCGGAAGTGGCACTGTGGCTCAAGTGGTAGAGCAGTTACCTTGAGCTGAAGAGCCTAAGGGACAATGCCCAGGCCCAGAGTTCAAACCCCATGACTGACAAAAAAAAAAAGTTTCTGTCCATACCTATGAGTTCTAGTGTTTCTTCTAATCTCTCTTGTAGTAATTTCAAAGTCTTGATCCACTTATGGAGTTGATATTTGTGTATAGTGACAAACAGTGATTCACTTTTAGTTTTTTGCCTAAGGATGCCCAGTTTGCTAAACACCAACTATTGAATAGGCTATCTTTTTTCCATAGTATATTTTTGGCTTCCTTATTAAATAAAACCATATTTTTTCTTTTTTTAAATTTTTTTGGGGGTCCAGTCGTGGGGCCTGAACTCTGGGCCTGGGCGCTGTCCCTCAGCTCTTCAGCTCAAGGCTAGCACTCTACCACTTGAGCCACAGGACCATTTCCGGGTTTTTTTCTGCTTATGTGGTGCTAAGGAATCGAACCCAGGGCCTCAAGCATGCAAGGCAAGCACTCTACCACTAAGCCACCTTTCCAGCCCCTTTTAAAATTTTTATTGTGAAGCTGATGTATAGAGGGGTTACAGTTATGTATGTCAGGTATTGAGTACATTTCTTTTTTAACAGTGTCACCCTCTCCCTCATTTTCTCCCAGTTTTTCCCTCCCCCCACCCCACCAAGTTATAAAGTTCATTTCCAAAGGCAGTTCAAGGAGCCAAATTAATTGAGGTTTTTTTTTTTTTTATTTGTTCTCATTTATTGCCTGAATGCACTCATTGCTTCACAGGCTGAATGAATTAACTTCAGATCTCCTTGCAGGACATATTTTTGAGATAAGACTTTGCGCTTTTTTCTGATCCAAGAAGGTTCATCTTAGCTGTATCTTTTCACTGGAGTCATATCAGTCTTGTGTAGACTGTTGCCCTTTAATTCAGAGGATTTAATCATCTTCTCCTTCATTGCTTGAAGCAGAGTCTCCTCTGTATTTGATACCCCAAATAAACTGATTCATTTGAGAGGTTTGGAAATATTTGCAAACTGCCTGGGTTCCTCCACACCAGCCAAGCAAACTGAGCCATAGTGGGAATAAGATCTATTCATCTTGGAATGAGAACACAAGCAGCTTTTCCTTTCTCTCAATACCATACACTTAGATGGGCATTTAGGAAAATGATTATGGTTTTATCGGAGCTCTTTTCAAACTCTGCTTTCATGATCATCCTATTAAGCTTCTGGTCAATCCACCTCTATCAATTAGTCTTACATCTAGCTGTTAGCTTCTAATAATTGCTGTGGATTACTGATATTTTTTACAAGGTTTATTTTTTTGGTGCAATTTATGGGGCTTGTACTCAGGACCTAGGTGCTGTCCTTAAGTTTTTTTCTCAAGGCTAGCATTCTACCACTTGAGTCACAGCTCCACTTTTGGCTTTTTGGGTGCTTAATTGGAGATAAGAGCATCATGGATTTACCTGCACAGGCTGGCTTTGAAGCATGATTCTCAGTTTTCAGCCTCCTGAATAGGTAGGATTATACGTGTGAGCCACCAGCACCTGGCTCTTGCTTGACTTTCCACTCAAGGCTGGTGCTCTACCACCTGAACCAAGCCTGCACTTCTGGCTTATCTCTGCTTTTAATTTGTATATTTAAACCATTAAACTTAAATGTAGTTATGTTTCAGTAATTACATTTGTTGGATTCATATTTGATATTTTCCATAGTTGGTCTTCTACCTTTGGTTCCTCTGTTCTTGTTTGGACTTGAAATTCAAGTTCTTCAAATTTCTCTTTGAATTTTTTAATTTATTTTTTAGTGGCTCTAAAGTTTACAATATGTATTTTAACCTATGCATATACTATCAACTTGATACAATACAATGTAAAAACATTGCTCATTTATAGTTACATACCCTCTCCAATATTGTTCTATTATTAGCAAATGTTACATCTATATAACAAAGCCAACAATACATTGCTGATTTTACTATATTATTATAAAACAGTATTACTGTGTATATTGTTTTCTGAATATAAGCAAATGAGAAAAAGCCTTCTATATTAACCCAGATATTTATGTTTTCTATCCTCTTTATTTCTTTTTATGTTGTATTTTGGAGATTGGAACACAGAATGTATTTATTAGGAACTGGTAACAAGGACCTTTGGTTAGCAAGTCCAAAGCCCAACACAGGAGGGCTGGCCTATGGTGCCAGAGCAAAAGTGAAGGTCCAACAGAAGCTATACTCCACCCTTACCAGGGCTTAGCTCTGGCTCACAGCTCCCTTACAGTAGCTGGGTACAGAATCAGTGGGGCACAAGGGGTTGCTGGGAGACAGAGCTAAAGCAAAAGACACTATTTGTGTTTACTCACACAGTGAACTGAACACCCAGTTGGTGCTCCTAAGTGCTTAAGGAGCAAGAGCAGTGGAGAAGGGACAGCAGGCTGCACCCTAAAGTAGGTAGGAGGTAGGAGGTTGGGTGTGACACCTTCCCCTCTGAGCCTGTTACCAAATCTGAGAAACACTTGGAAGCAGGAGGCATCCCAGTTCTCCTGCCCATAGTGGTCTGTAACTGTGGGCCTGGGCGCTGTCCCTCAGCTCTTCAGCTCAAGGCTAGCACTCTACCACTTGAGCCACAGCGCCACTTCCGGCTTTTTTTCTGCCTATGTGGTGCTGAGGAATGGAACCCAGGGCCTTATGCATGCAAGGCAAGCGCTCTACCACTGAGCCACCTTCCCAGCCCCTCCCCTTTCTTCTTAATACTATCATAAGCTAGTAGTTAATTTCCACAGCACAGAAATAGTTTTGTATTATCCAGTCTCCTTGTTGCTCTTTGGAAAGATGATTTTTCCAATCTCCTCTTGCCTTTCTGAAACCTAGCATACTTAAATATTAACTAACTGCTCATAGTTCATGAGGAAGGAGTAGTAGGTTCTGTAATGTTTGTGTTCCTTCCAATATTCATATATTAAAACCTAAAGCTAAAGATGATGGTATTGGGCTGGGAAGGTGGCTCAGTGGTAGAGCGCTTGCCTTGCATGAATGAAGCCCTGGGTTCGATTCCTCAGCACCACATAAGCAAAAAGAAAAAAAGCCGGAAGTGGCGCTATGGCTCAGGTGGTAGAGTGCTAGCCTTGAGCTGAAGAGCTGAGGGATAGTGCCCAGGCCCAGAGTTCAGGCCCACGACCGGACCCAAAAAAAAAAAAAGATGATGGTATTGAGGTAAGACCTTTGAGGGGTAACTAGATGAGTCTTCTACTCTTGTGGATGAGATTAGCGTCCCTCTGAGAGAGTTTGAAGGAGAATATTTGCCCCTTCTCCATGTGAAGATGTACTGTAAGGAAGCATCTATGAGGCAGAGTTAGCCCTCACCATATACCAAATCTGATGATATATGTTGATATGTGACTTGCCAGCCTACAAAACTATGTATAAATTCTATGTTTTGTAAATTACCAAGTGTAAAGCATTGTGCTATCCTACCATGGAATACACTAATGTTGAGCTAATTCACTTTTCCTCATTTGTTTGGACTTTTGATTATTTATTAACATTTAATAATATGTCATTATCTGGCTTATACTAACCTTCAAAACTTTTTTAATAGAGCCATTTGTGTAAGAAGCCTCCCTCTAAATAAAGGATCAGCAAGAATAATGAGAACAGATTTGGTGAGTTGTCTTTATTTCCTGGGTATTATGTTATCTTTTAATTTCTTGAGACAAAGGAAATACAAAACATGTTGAGTAATTTAAATCTAGTAAAAATGGTGTTTATTTTATTAATTATTCTAGGCTTCAGGGAACACAAATGTGGACTCTCTAAATTTGTAGCATTTTAGAAATTAAAAAATAATTTGTAAGCTGGGTGACAGTGTCTCACTCCTGTAATCCTAGCTACTGAAGAGGCTGAGATCTGAGAACTGTGCTTCAAAGCCAGCCTGGGCAGGAAACTCTGTGACTCTGATCTCTAATAAACTACTCTGAGCACAAAGAGGCTCAGAGGCAGCACCCAGGCCGTGAGTTCAAGCCCCAGGACCTGCAAAAAAAATGACAAATGACTAATAAAAACTCAAAGAACTACTGAATACTTCTGCACCATTATTGAAATCTTGAGATAATTTGAACTACATTGTGTGCTAATACCTCTTCCTTCCCATGAGGACCTATATGAATTTGAGAGATGGTAAAACTTTTTTTTGGGGGGGGTCGGTTATGGGGCCTGAACTCTGGGCCTGGACACTGTCCCTCGGCTGTTCAGCTCAAAGTGAGTGCTCTACCACTTGAGCCACAACCCCACTTCCAGCTTTTTCTGCTTATGTGGTGCTGAGGAATCAAACACAGGGCCTCATGCATACAAGGCAAGCGCTCTACCACTGAGCCACTTTCCCAGCCCAAGAAAGGGTAAAACTTTTCAGTGAGATCTCTGCCTTCTCCAAAGTCCTGAAGTGAAACCTGAAGGATAGGAAGATAACATACATTATTAGTTGGAAAGCAAAAAAAAAGCTCTATTGGCAATATTACTCTAAGCAATCTACAGATTTGGTATAGTCTCTATCATCATTTCTAATGACAATTTTTACATCAATGGAATAAGAGCTGATCCTGAAATTCATACAGAAGTATTAGACATATGAGTAGCCAAAACAATCTTAAATAAGAACACCAACGTGGTTTGAAATCTTACTTCCATATGCCTGTAATCTTAGCTACTCAGGAGGCTGAGATCTGAGAATCGTGGTTCAAAGCCATCCTGAGCAGGAAAGTCTGTGAGAATCTTATCTCCAATTAACCTCCAGAAAACTGGAAGTGGCACTGTGGCTCAAAGTGGTAGAATACTAGCCTTAAGCTGAAGAGCTCAGGGACACTGCTCAGGCCCAGAGTTCATACCCCATGACTGACCAAAAAAAAAGAAAAAAGAAAAAAGAAACAAAAAGTTGTTACAAAAGTACACTTGGAGACCAGTGAAATATAGAGACTAAAGGTAACACGTATACTACGATGAACTGATTTTTAACAGAGTATTAAATTCATTCTGGTTATCCACATACCAAAAGATCCAGTGAGATCATCTTACAGTCACATATGGAAAATTAAGCTCAAAATTTAACAAAGTTAATGGGTCAGGCCTACTGGTACATGCCTGTAATCCCACCTATAGAAGAGGCAGAGGTAAGGAGACTCATTGTCCAAGACTGCATCAGGCAAAAACTATCTGAACAACAACAACAAAAAAAACTAAAGCAAAATAGGTTGGGGTGTAGCTCCACTGGTAGACTGCTTACCTAGCAAATATAAAGCCACGGGTTCAAATACCCAAAGCAAAGGAAAATGTTAAATTTCTCATTGTAAAAGCTGAAATTGTGGAAATTTTACAGGATAAGGGTAAAATTTCATGTCATTTGATTTTTGCAGTGATTTCTTGAACATGCTGCCAAGCGCAAATCAGAAGAAAAAAGTAAATTGGATTTCACTAGAATTTTGCAGTTACTTCCATTAAAGCTATGATTAATCAGATAAAAAGGCAGCTAGCAGAACAAGAAAAAACATTTTCAAACCAGTTATCTGAAAAGGTTCTAATATTCAGAGTATTGACACGGCATTTAAAAAGACGTTTCTTATAAGAAGTTATACAAATTCCCAACAAATACATGAGAACAGAAATATAAAATTACCTCATTACACCACTTCAAACACTAAAATAATATTTTTTCTTTTCTAATTCTTTTCTTTCCTAACTCTGAGAATTAGTACCTTGTGCCTACTAGGCCAGCTATGTCTCCAGTCCTTTTTTATTTTTCTTTTTGCTTAAAATATAAGGTCTTAAGCTTTATGCCTGAGACCAGCCTAGGACAACAATCCTACCTCATCCTTCCAAAAGATGGGAATACACCATCATACTCAGTTTCTGTTTTGACATGGAGGCTCCTTACCTTTGGCCTGGGATTGGCCTAGTTCCACAATTGTCTCTGGTAACTGGGAGTAAAGACGTGAGGACAAGCGAAACCAGATAGGATTTTTATTTGGAAAACGATAATACAAGTATTAGCAAAGATGTGGAAGAAAATCTAACCTTCTTAAACTGATGATGGTAGTGAAAAACTGGACAATTACTATGGAAAGCAGTATGACAGGAAGGGTAGAAGCAAAGCTCTTGCAAGCTGGCTCCTTGGCTCTTCTGGGTCAATAGTGCTATCATGCGGAAACAGTTTTAGAAATCCTCAAGCCAATATTATAGCAAGTTCTAGCTTTGAAGGAGATAGAGCCACGGAATGCCCAAAAGACCCAGACCTGAACATAGCCTCCCCAACATGTCCTCTGTAACCAGGCAGGAGCAATGCACAACAGCAGAGCCTTGGTGTGGATCCTTGAGAATGAGAAACCAAGAATGACTAGGCCGAGGCTTAGAAGTAAAGGTAGAAGAAGTAGAGAGGAAGATTTCCAGCACTGCCCGGGTATAAACTTTATTTACTAGCTCATGAATAAAGGAGGGTTTCTCTTCTTTACTCTTTGAAGAATTACAGGAGAAATTTAAGCAGCATCTGATTTCATCCTTATGGTCAAACACCAGTGTGCTTTATGATACTGTATATGAATATTATGCACAGTATATTTAAAATATAAACAATGTATATCATGTTCACATCCCAGCTGTTAGCAACTTTTTTAATTTTTGTTTTGTTTTTGTTTTTTGCCAGTTGAGGGGCTTGAACTCAGGGCCTGGGCACTCTCCCTAAGCTTTTTTAGCTCAAGGCTAGCACTCAATCACTTGAGCCACAGTGCCACTTCTGGCTTTTTCTATTAATGTGGTACTGAGGAATTGAACCCAGGGCTTCACGCATGCTAGGCAAGCACTTTACCACTGAGCCACATTGCCATCCCTAGCTTTTTTTTTTTTAATGTGAGATTCACTAGAAGCATACCAAATAGAAATATTTGGTATAGAAAGAACAGGCCTGTCCTTTATACTTGACTGAATTCAAAGGAACTCAAAGGGCACAGCACAAAAATAACTGGTGAAATTTTCCTAACTCTGCTGAAGAGTAAAGAAGGCACAAACATCCTTAAGACCTCCCATTTTTCTCAGAGTAAATTTCTCTGGTATAGTCAACAATGGGAGGAACAGAGGAACAGTGCCATGACTTTCTGGAAGCTACGGGTTCACCTCAGGCCCCCTACTCTAATAAGGTAGGGAAATTCCAATTGAAGGGCTTTGAAATCATGTGGTACTACATAGAACAGACACATAATCATCTCCTTTGCTGATAGGAGTCTGTCTGCCTCAAGTTTTGTGTAGACCTCAAATGATGTATTAAAAAAAAATATTCACAAGCCAGACACCAGTGGCTCATGCCTGTAATCCTAGCTATTCAGGAGGCTGAGATCTGAGGGTGGAAGTTCAAAGCCAGCCAGGGCAGGAAAGTCCATGAGACTCTTATATCCAATAAACCACTCAGAAAACCAGAAGTGGCGCTGTGGTTCAAGTGGTAGAGCTGAAGAGTTGAGGGACAGTGCCCAGGCCCAGAGTTCAAGCCCCACTACAGACAATTTAAAAAAAATGTTCACATTGCCCTTGGCAGGAAAAAGACAGACAGACACAGAGACACACACACAGACACACACACACACACACACACACACACACACACACAAAGCAAACAAGGAAAAAAAAAAGATTTGAAAGGAGGAGGCAACAATGCTTGATAAGAAATGTACTCATTCCTTGCCCATGGAATTGTAACTCCTCTGTACGGTATTTTCACAACTAAAAAGGAAAAAGAAAAAGAAAAAAAACAAGGTTTGCCACCACTTAGGGCTTTGGGAAAAGGCAAAAGGGCCCAGCTTGAATCCCAAGCTGCTTCCAAGTTTCTTTAGGACACCCCTTCCGCCATCTGCTAGGCATTCTGGGAAGGCTAATGTAATGGCGCACGGTTTGTAGAAACCAAATCCGCATGATGGCAGTAGTGCGCCACAAGAAGACCAGAGCCGCTATCTTGGAGTATCCCTCCTGCCCTTCCTGTCTAAAAAAATCGCCAACGTGTAGAATTAATGCGTTTTGTAGGATAGATCTCCCTTTAGTATAAAATGGAAGCCTAAAGCAAACTCCTAAAAGATAAAACTGGACAAAAAGGCGTCATTACCAAAGCTTCTGGAATATATGTTTTATCTTTTCTTTTTAAAAAACTAATAGGCAGAAGCACAGATCATATATCAGATTCCTGGATATTGACAGTAAACACTTCCATCATGTGGAAATGATTTCAGAAATCTAACTCCAGGAGCATTTGTTGCTGGGAAACCACAACGCAGCTGTGGAAAATAGACCCCTTAAAAAGCCAAAGGCTCACACTTGTACTCCCTAGAACTCAGGAAGCTGAGTTCTGAGGAACATGGTCTGAAACCAAGTAACACCAAAAATTAGAGCAAAAAGCTCAATCAATGACGGCATGAAAGAGCATCTAATCTTCCTGGAACAGGACAGTCTAGTATATCCAGACAGAAGCCAGAATAGAACAGAAGCAAAATGGTACCTTTTAAAATACTAATACGGTTCCCTTGGGATCATAACAAGGAGAGATTCTAAGAACATCTATTTGCCTTCCAAGCGATTTTCTAGTGTTGCCCATACTTGGAGGAACAGAAGCCCCGCCCCACAACTTCCCCTGTCCTTGTCTT